GACAGGAGGCAAAACACCAACCGTCCATCCCAGGGGAACCAAGCCACGAGTCCAGAAACACTCCGATTCAGGAACACCAACAAGGGAATCTTCATACATATGGTTAGTGAGGTGTATGTGGTCTTCATCAATATTCACATTATCTTGACAGCCCCAGTATCTGTGCCAAGGTGTCTCCTGACGAACTCCACAGCGAGGGCATACACCATTGCTGAGGTAGCCGCTGTCCTTGAGGCGCTGCTCTGGCCACTGGCCGCCAGAGACAAGGTGGTTCAAAATAGCAACGCCGTCGAGGTCGCCTTGCCGAGACAGCGAATTCCGCAGCCTACGCAACGCAGTAAAATCGACGCCTTCATGCAGACCCTGTCCCCCATACGCCTTAGATGCTTGGACCCAAAGCATACTACCCACTTGTTTTTCAACCGTCTTCCACAAAAAGTACGGGAAATCACGTCGGTCAACATGGAGGGTAACATCAGGGAATCTCCACGTGCAGGGCCCCAGCGGGTTCCCATTGAGCTCCAAGACACACATGATGACAGACGCGATGGGTCCCCGCACATGACGCCAACGGTGAACAGGGGGGACACTTCGCAGCTTAGCTAACAACTTGGGCCACACTTTGTTCACACTACAAACTTGGCTAGGGTCGAGGACACGGTAGGTTCGGCTCCATTCCAAAAGATGTGCAAATCGAATCTTATACGCTGGGCCATCAGACATAGCATGATCAAGAGCAAGGAGGGTAGTGGTACAACAGCCTGCATGCCATCGTCCTGTCGCTTTAGCAGCCTGGGCACGGAGAGCACGCATGCGCGAGGGCGGAGTGCCGAGGACTTGATGGCTCCATGTGCCAACAGCGACCACCCCTGGCTTAAACAACTTGCGAGCACGACGATTGACATGAGACAGAAAAGTGAGCCTCTTACTGCGAAGCCTAGCTTCTTCCTTGCGCTGAGTCATTTTCCACATCGTCCTCCTCCTCCCCGCCGTGGTCCCAACTCCCAAGTCCTTCACAGAATCAACAACTTTAAGCGGAATATTCAGCTCGTCACAGAGAGCCTGAAAGGGGCGACCAACCTGCCGAGAAGAGGCGACGACACACGACTTCGAAGAGATCTTACACCCACGGCGTTTCAAAACATCACAAAGTTCTCGCGCAGCTGGCACCAGTGTGGTAAGGATGTCCTGCACAGAGCCTTGGATGCACTGGGTAAGGTCGTCCACATACGCCGAGATTGGGACACGAGGGACACGACAGTGTGCCGCCTCCAAGATATCGTAGAGATAACATTTTATCCATGGTAGGGACTGGGAACATCCAGCTAAAATGGATTGGCCAGCCTGCATCACACCCGACACCAGGGACTGGACCTCGAGGAGCCTGGGGGAGGTGTGGATCAGGAGGCCCAGGTAGAGGAGCAAGGAGGAGTAGTCGACAGCCTGAGCCAAGCCGATGAGCTTACTTGGGTCGATGGTGTCAAAAAACTTCTCCATATCCCAATGTCCAGAAACAGAAAACACTCCCTCCACCCGAGCACACTCGTGCAAAACTTCACGAAGCATGGCGGCCCGCAGGGCCGGAGAGTTCTTCACAGCCGCATCCCAGAAGGCGACGTGAGAATCGGTCCAGTCCTGGATTTTTTCCGCGGATTCGGGTATACAGTCGGTAGAGGGTGGGGCACTTAGTGATGGGTCTTTCAGACGTGGACGTTTGGGCAGGAGGGTGACCAAACAAAGGTAGACCTGCTGGGGAAACTCAAGGGCATACTCGATGCCATTAAAAATGGTGGCCAGATGATCCAGGGCTTCACCAGGGAGCCGCATCAGATCACGAGGGGACCACCCGTCCACGCCAAGAGCCGTGTCGGCCGAGAAACACTTGCAAGCCGTGAGCACGTCTTGGCCTTCAATGCTGCGAGCCTCGAGAGACTCAAGCTCAGCGACAGGTCGGAGGCGCTGCATAGCATACTCGAGATCACAAACTTGCCTACTCGTAGGCGTCCACCAGGACGCCCAAAACTGCTCTCGATATCTCATCATCTCTTGGGGGGTCTGGGCAACGAAAGTGGGGGTAACAAACATCTCAACCTCCTTCTTGGCGTCAGAACGCAACCAACGGTGGGCCACTTTCGCTCCCCCCGCAAGTCCCTTGGAGAGCCAGGCCTGGATGCCGAGCCGATTAGCTTTCCGAGCTGCCGTCCACGCGCGGCGAAGGACGGGGACGAGAGCTTCCTGGATGACTTCGAGCTTCCTTGGGTCACCTGGAATGTCTTGCAACCACCCTGTCCATACAGCAGCTTGCCGAGCATCGGCGAGGCCTTCAAGGTGTAGCCCCACCTCGTCACCGCGCGCTCGGAGGAGAGTCCTGAGAGCGGTGACCTGGGTGGTGCCTCCTCTCTTCAAGGCGACAGCAAAATCGTACAGGCGGGACGATATCAGCGTCCAAAAAGCCAGGCAGGGGTGGGAGAAACCTTGCTTCATCACTCCTCGTTTGGGAAGGGTCCGCTCCTGCACAACTACTGCTCTGCCCCTGCGCCCTCCCGGCGAAGGCCAGGTGGAGAGGGAGCGGGAGCAAAACAGCATTTCCGCAGCAGTAGACCACTTTTGATAGGCTTCCGAGAGTCCTTGCGAGTGGAGGGGCCAGTGAAACTCGAGGAAGGCTCCACGGACTTCGCGAGGTATCTCCACAACTTGGTCACCAGCACGGTGGACAAAATCACTCCAATGCTGATCAGGCCCAGGGTGGGCCCCTATTGGAACTGGTCGATCACGTTTCATCACGGTGTCACGGAGAACCTCGAGCGACATCTGCACATGCAAACAGGCGTGCGTCTTAAAAGCGGAGCTCCAATCCGCGTCAATCGTCAGGTATGGGCGGATGTCCCGCGACACGACTGCATAATCAATCAGGCGGCCAGTGCCTTTGTCACATGTAAAGTCAGTATTGCGGGGGTCCACCGTGACGCCAGAGACAACCTCACAGAAACCACAATGGTGCAACTCGAGGGGCTCCATGTTGAAATCTCCCAAGAGGATCCACGGGCACTCAAGCATCCCCGGGAACTCAACCACTTCATGGAGACGATCGAGGTTTATACCTGAAGCTCCAATCCCAGAGACAAGATATATAACTCCCAGAGCGAGCGTACAATGCTGCGTCTTCATTTCCAGGAAAAACCAACTCTGCCCCTGGCCCACGTTCTCGACCCCAGCTGGGAGACTACGCAGGAATTTCTTGCAGTAGACCGCCTTCTGCACGACAGCGCCGACACCACCGTGCCATCCTCCGCCAGGCGAAGGAAGAGCAGCTTGGAAGTGCGGGCGCCATCCCATAGATGAGCAGTCTCTCTTGGCGGCCTGTAGCTTGTCGGGTCCCTGATGGTGCCCGGCAAAGAGGAAAACGTCGACATCTTCCACAGCTCTGGCAAGTTCAGACTTGGCCAGTTCAGACCAGCTGGAAACGTTGCAGAACTTGACATCGATGGTCGAGCGTCCGTCAACCCTCTGCCCTCGCCGCCCCAGGGACTCGTCAAACCAACGACGCGCCTTGCACAACTTGGGGGGCTGCCAGGTGGGCAAACGCATTAACCCACATATCATTAGCATAAGTAGCCACCTTGAGCTTCTTATGCGCCTGGGCATGAAATGTTTTGACCAGGAGGGTCTCCAACCTCTCGAGGTCCTCAGGCTTACATTGCTCCGCAGAACGCTTGCGAAGCTCAGATAGCTCCTGCCGATCAGCCTCGCCAAGAAGATCATCATCGTCATCGACAGGAACAGCCTTATGTTCACCACCACCCTCACCGCTCGCATTGCCCATCGTCGCATCTGCACCCGCATCAGCGTCAGCTTCACCAGGAGTAGACGAGGTGGGCGCCGCGGAATCAGGAGAGACCGAGCTGAGGACGTTGTGAGCAGCGAGCTGGGCTGTGCGAAGGTTGCACCATTCGCTGAAGGGGACCTTGGTGCTGTCGGCGAGCTTACGAAGGTCATCATCTCCCAAAGTGTGTAGCTTCCCAAGAACTTCACGGGCATCTTCGGGTGCAGGACCTGGTCCAGGAACGCCAGGAGCGCCTCCATGTACACCACCAGGTAGGTCATCTGCACCAGCGGACGGGGCCCGCGCAGCGGCCTGAGCAGCCGCAGCAGCCTCCATCTTCTGCTTCTTGAAAGCAGCCTCATCGAACCTGTCCTTCTTCTCCTTGGCGACGGTGTGGGCGGACTGGGCGACCTCGAGGTGTGCTGAGGCTTCGGCAAAGGCAGCCTCAGCCAACTTGACCTTCTCACGGGCCTTGAGCAAGGCCTCCTGACGTTCAGAGCGACTTTGCCAGGCCAGACGCTCAGCCTTGGCAGCCTCCTCCACGCCCTTCGCCAAGGCGGTCCGTTCTCCAGCCACCGCTGCGTCCAGCTGCGCATCGGACGGGACGTTTGGCGGTGGTGGAGGCGGTAGATGGTTCGCAAGCACGTCTCGTAAGCCAGGAAACTGGGCGACTGCAGCACTTGCTTGACCTGACAAGTCGAGAGGTTGTGAGTCGACCGCCGCACTCGACTCACCCGTAGTCTTATTGCGCATGACATATGATCCACTGCAACGGCTGCACGCAGTGTGACCATGAAAGAGGTACTCCCAGTGCCCGCACTTGCTGCAGACGGCGTAGGGGGAAACCGTCGACGGTGGACACGGCGCAGCATCACGGCGCTGCTGACGGCCACGCTCCACGACCAGCATGACGCTGCATCATCTGACCTTTAGCACGCCAGGGAGGGGTACGCTCCGCTGAAGTCCACGTCCACGGCATGGCATGCACGCTCCGACAGGAGCTCACAGACTGAAGGGTACCGAGATGGGCCGCCAGAAGCCCCTGCGGTACTGGCAAAAGAAGACGTCGAGCGCAAGCGCTCTGGCACTGCCGCGGACTAGCGGTATCCACTTGTTCCACTGTGGAACACAAAGCCTTGAGCCAAAATGGCTACGGGGAGGAGGAGGAGGAGGAGGAGGAGGAGGAGGAGGAGGAGGAGGAGGAGGAGGAGAAAGAGGACGAGGACGAGGAGACGGAGGAGGTAGGGAGCGGGGAGGAGGAGGAGGAGGAGGAGGAGGAGGAGGAGGAGGAGGAGGAGGAGGAGGAGGAGGAGAAGAAGAGGAGGAGGGGTGTGGAGGAGAAAGAGGAGGAGGGGGAGAGGAGGAAGAGGAGGAGGGGGAGAGGAGGAGTTGATGTTGTCATAGTTTTCTGGGGGCGGGCGGGAGCTCGTCGCCATGGCCTCGAAATACTAATCAGAGAGCGCTGCATGGAGAGGCGAGGGGGGAACATTCTGAGGAAAGGGGGAAGAAGGAGGGTGATGACGAAAGCGGAAGCGCGTGAGGCGGCCCCCCGCGGCGGGGCTATGGTCGGTCGCCCCCTCTCCTTTGGGGGTGGCGCAGCAACCTGCTTCGCCACCGCCAGGGAGAGGGCGCTCGAATTTCCCACTTGATTAACAATACATTCCAAAAAGCTCGGTCGATGTGACCGTCTAGGGCGGGAGGGCGCACGCGAGGCTGAAGAGCGCTCGTGAGAACAAGGAGGAGGAGGAGGCGGAGGAGTAGGAGGAGGAGGGGGAGGGGGAGCAGGAGAAAGGCGGAGGAGAAGGAGGAGGAGGAGGAGGAGGCAGGGCGACGAGGGCAAGGAGGAGGAGGGCAACCGGCAGCCGATTCAAAATGCTAGGCCCCGAAGAGGAGGAGGAGGAGGAGGAGGAGGAGGAGGAGGAGGAGGAGGAGGAGGAGGAGAAGGAGGAGGAAGGAGGAGGAGGAGGAGGAGGAGGAGGAGGAAGAGGGGGAGGAGGAGGAGGAGGAGGAGGAGGAGGAGGGAGAGGAGAGGAGAAGGTGAGGGAGGATATGAGATGGATACCTGGATTATCGCCATAGCAATATGATACCAACCAACACTGGTAGCACACTCATCGCACCAGACAAAAAAAACTCGAGAGAACTGTCGTCGAGGTACTCGGGACGAGTCTAAGGCAACGTTTCTCCACATAACCCCTAAGGAGTAGGCCAGAGGAAGGCCTCCATAATCACAGGGACCACGATGGGGACTCAAGCAAACCGCATACATATTCTTATGCAGGGTCGCACCGACGGAGTAATTCAGAATGGAGCTGCAAGTGCTGACTTCTGCGACGGTTGCACGGATGAGGGGGCGGTCGTTCTTCGAAGGGGGATATCGCTGGGAAGAACAGTTACACGATTAAGGAGGGGACTTGGGGCGGGGTGGTTGCATTGCAGCATCGTTTACGCATTATTGGTATGCTTCGGTCCTCCTCCACCTCATCCTCCTTCTCCCCCTCCACCTATCACTCCTGCCCCTCCCTGTCCTCCTCCCTACTCCCCCTCCCCGTCCTCCTCCTCCTCCTCCTCCTCCTCCTCCTCCTCCTGCATCTCCTGCTCCTGCTCGTGCGCCTGCTCCTGCTCCCTCTGCCTTCTCCTGCCCCTGCTCCTGCTCCTGCTCCTGCTCCTGCTGCTCTCCCTCCTCCTCCTCCTCCTCCTCATCCTCCTCCTCCTTCTCCTCCTTCTCCTCCTCCTCCTCCTACTCCTCCCTCCTCCTCTTCCTCCTCCTCTTCAGGCTCCTCCCCTCCTCTTCCTGCTCCTCATGCTGCTCCTGCTCCTCCGCCTTCTCCTGCTCCTGCTCCTGCTCCGGCTCGTGCTCCGCTCCTGCTGCTGGCTGCTCTCCCTCCTCCTCCTCCTCCCTCCTCCTTCCTCTTCTCCTCCTCCTCCTCCCCCCCCCCTCTTCCAGCTCCTGTTCCTCCTCTTCTGCTCCCCTCCTCATGGCTGATCCCTCCTCCCTTCCCCTCCTCCTCCTCCTCCTCCCTCCTCCTCCGCACTCCTGCCCTTCTCCTCCTCCTTCCTCCTCCCTCCCTCCTCCTCCCTCCTCCCATCCTCATCCTCATTCCTCCTCATCCTCATCCTCATCCTCCTCCTTCTCCTCCTCCGTCCTCCTCCCCTCCTCCTCCCCCGCCTCCTCCTCCCCCCCCCGCCTCCTCCTCCTCTCCTCCTCTCCTCCTCCTCCTCCTCCTCCCCTCCTCCTCCTCCTCCTTATCCTCCTCCTCCTCCTTCCTACTCCTCCTCCCTCCTCCTCCTCTCCTTCCTCCCCATCCTCCTCCTCCCCCGCCCCCTCCTCCTCCTCCTCCTCCTCCTCCTCCTCCTCCTCCTCCTCCTCCTACTCCTACTCCTACTCAACTCCGCTTCCTCCTCTTCTCATCCGAGGCGTCGTCTTCGCGGGCTTCGATCCTTGATCGCGACGTACGGGATGGCGTGCACGAGGTCGCGCAGCGTGATGCCTCCCCCGCTCCCTCGCCGCGACCGCCCGGCGCCCGGCGAGGGGCTCGGGAGGGACAGGGGGGCGGGGAGGAGCGAGGCAGCCCCTTAGACAAGCGCGCTCCACGGCTCGCGAAGTAACTAACTGCTCGCTGGTGGCCTGGATCCGCCACGCATGATCTACGATATGCTGCATCGGTGCAGACATGTTTTTTTGTTTCTGACGTTTGCGAGCAGGCACTTTGCGAGCAGTGGAAGGCGCGCAGCGACCCATGCCCTCTCGCGGCAGAAGTAAAAAAAAACACGGATTGTCTTTTGCTAGTATCGGCCTCTGGGAGCCCTCGCCGGGCCAGGGCAGTCAAACCGCGACTCAAGACGAAACGCTGGCCCCGAGGAATGGGTCGAGACCTCTTGGGGTCGACGTTATGGTCAAATTATGACGTCGGGGGTCGGGCGCGGGGGGGGGGACACAGTGGCAGGACAGGGGCGATGGCCTCCAAGGGGGGAGGACAGGGAGAGGGGGCGAAAGGGAGGACAATGGGTGAGGACAGGGGGCGAGAGAGGGATCAGGCGAGGGGGAGTTCGGCTCGGGAGGATCAGGGGGGGAGGGGGAGATCGGCTTCTGCGCTCCAGCGCTTGCAGGCATCCCCCCGGACGTGCTTGCCCTGAAGGGGCCCTCGCCCTTGGCTGCATCCCGAGAGACTTGCGGTCGCTTTTTGGGGGGACGGGGCCAACAAAAAGTGCCGAGGCCGCTGCTCCCCAGACTCGGGCCGGGCGAAAGGGGGGGATAGCAAAGGGGGGGGGTGAGAATCAGCTCACGTAGCTGATTTTCCTAGCGCCTCCCAGCGCCGGGAGGCGCCCATGTATCGAGGAAGGGGCACGGCAGGGGCCGAAAACAGCTGCATGCAGCAGATTTCGTAACCCCCCCTTTCCCTATCCCCCCCCCTTTCGTTCGGGCCGACAGGCCTCTCCCGGGCCTGCGTCCCGGCTGGGCCTTCGCAGCGACCCCGGCCGTGCCGACGCGGGCCGCGGCACGGGCACCTTCTGCCTCCCCCCGAGCTCCGGGGGTGCTCGGCAGCGGGGCGCCCGTACATAGGCGACGGGCCCAGGGGGGAAATGAGAAGGAGAAGGCCTTCTCAGACGGCCGCGGGACTTCTTAGAAGTCCGGGGGGGGCTTCTGAGACGTTTCCTTGGCCTATCTCGAACACAGACACAGAACTTCTCAGGAGCCCTCTGAGAAGTCCAGAAACTTCTCAGAAGCCTCGGAAGTCCCGCCCCTTCTCACTTCCCCCCCGCGCCCGCCGCCGAGTACAGCCGCTGCGCGGCCGCCCCCGTGCGCTCGGGTGGGCGCGGTGGGCGTTTTGCTGGGCTCTCTCTCTGCCTGAGAGGGCGCGGCCGTGGGGCGAGGCGTCGGCACGCGCGGCAGGGGCTCGGCCACAAGAGACCTGCCAGAAGAAGCCCAGGGCCCGAGACCCCCCAGGACGTCCACGGATTTTTGTTGGTGTGGGTCGGGTCGGGCGAAAGGGGGGGATAGCAAAGGGGGGGGGGATGAGAATCAGCTCACGTAGCTGATTTTCCCGGCGCCTCCCGGCACCGGGAGGCGCCCATGTATCGAGGAGTGGGCCCCTCGGTGGGGCCGAAACCAGCTGCATGCAGCAAATTCCGTAACCCCCCCTTTCCCAATCCTCCCCTTTCGTCCGGCCCGAGTGGGAGCGTCGCGCTCTCCCAAAAACCATCGGAGCCCAAGACACCCGAGGATCCCACCCTGGAGGCAGGCAGGGTGTTTCTCGGCATGGGTCTCCACCGTGCTTCTCTTCTCCAGCTCGGTTTTTTGCAACAGTGGGACTTGGGATGAGGAAGCTGGGCGAGGATTGGGAGAGGCCAGGAGGAGGAGGAGGAGGAGGAGGAGGAGGAGGAGGAGGAGGAGGAGGAGGAGGAGGAGGATGTGTGGGTGATACTCACTGGGGGGGCAATAGCTGGGGGGGGGACGCGTGCACCTCTCGTGTCCCTGCTGGGCCCCTTTTAGCGCCCCTTCAGGACACGAGCCACCAGTACAAGGGGGGGTCCAGGGACACGCAAAATGATGACCAGAAATCCGAAGACCCCCCACATTTTCCTACATGTTCTGTGTGTTCGCCTTCCCCCCCCTTCCCGTGTTTTGCTTGGAATCGACATTGATTTGAGTTTGTGTTTTTCCCCTCCTGAATTGCGCAACGCCCGACTTTTTCTGAAGATCCTGTCGGGCGCGGCCTCACCGACCCCTGGCAAACCATCCCCTTCCGTGACGTCAGCCTCGCCTTTCGAGCTCCCCTCCGGCCGCATACACACAGCGGAGGCCAGTCCACAAGAAGTCTTCCACAAGAAAGCCAACCCTGAGACCCCAGGACTGGCCATCGCTCGGAAGTCCATTCCCTGTTATTTTTGGTTTCGTGCGTGGTTTTTTCGCCAAGTGATCAAGGATGCTCCTCGATGGTCCTCACCGAAGAAAAAATGCACACGTCCGAGCGATGCCAAGAGGAAGTCCATTGGTTTTGGCGTGGGAAGGTCCCGCTTTGCATCGCAAACAAACCATCGAAGCCCAAGAAACCCAGGGGCACCCTGGAGGCAAGCAAGGTGTTTCTTGGCATGTGCCTCCGCTGTACTGAAGGGGCCCAAGGACACGCAAATAAATAAACACAAACAAAGTACTCCCCCATGTTTTCCCATATGTTCTGGGTTTCTGTCTTCCCGCCCACCTCCCACATGTTCCCACATGTTCTGGGAAATCGAAGATTCATTGTGCCTGTGTGTTTCTGTTCCTCCCGATGTACATCGGTCTCGGGGCGAGGCGACGGGGGACGTCACGGAAGGGGATGCTTTGCCAGGGGTCGGCTGGGCCGCCCCGGATCCTGGCCCCTGGGGCCCCGAGTCTCGACCCCTCCCTGGCCATCGCTCGGACGTCCACTCCCTGTGCTTTTTTCGGTTTCGTGCGTGGCTTTTTCGCCAAATGATCAAGGATGCTCCTCGATGGCCCTCGCCGAAGGAAAAATGCACACGTCCGAGCGATGCCCTGGGTGCGGGCTTCGCCTCCTTGGTGGCGCTTTGAACACCGCAGCCGGCCAAGAGCCCTCCGCCTCGAGTTTTTTGGAAGGGGCCCAGATTCCTCAGATTTGGACGCCCGACATGGGTACCGGAAAAATGGGCACTATGCCCAACAACAAATGTTGTCCAAAGCCAACAGCGGCCGCTGTTGGGCAGGCGCCCTTCTGTCTCGGATGGACACAGGCCGCGGCGGCTTGGACAGCGACTCCTGTTCAAAGTGAACAGGAACTGCTGTCGGGCATGGTACCCACTCTTTCAGTACCCATTTCGGGCGTCCAGATGTGAAGTTGCAAGATCTGCTGGAGTCTCGTCTTCCCCTCCACTTTCCATATGTTCCCATATTCTCCCAGGAACCAACGATGCTGTGTGTGTGTGTGTTGTGCGTGTCTCCTCCCCTCTTGATCGTTTCCACGACGCGACGAGGGGTGCCGAGTCCGCTGGGGATCTGCCCTGTGGCCCCGTTCCGGGGCCCGCCCTGGCACTCCTCGGAGGGACAACGGGGGGGGGACTGGCACCGGGGGGGGGGGGGGCACGTCGACCGGGCATCGGCGCTACGTCGACGACGGATCTCGGCGGTTTTGCCCCCGAGAGTGACTGCCCGCCAGACCACCCCAGCCCAACCCGAAGGCCCGAATGTCGGGTTGGGGTGGGCAGGGGCTCCAAATGTGGTTTTTCAATGCTCCCCGACCCCCCCCCCACACACTGGAGGTGGAGGGCAGATTGAGGCCTTCTTGCTGGGATGGGGCGGTTCAGTGCGTGGCGGGATGGTGGATCCGCAAGTTCCGGGGCGGGGTGGACCATCGGGCCCCCCAACCTGGCGATGAGTGGGCGGTCGGGGGTCGAGGCTCCCTGTGCCCATCCCCCGTGATCGTGACCCTCTGACACCCGTGTAACGCTTCGAACCCGCGATGCCCACGTCGATCCTACCGAGCAAAAAGACTGCCCTCGAGCTCGCCAGCCCTCCCCGGCGCCAGGCTGCATGGCTTCGACGCCCCCCTTGAAGCGCACGAGCACCGACTCCGGCATGTCGAGGGGCATCACGCCGGTGGCCGCGGCGAACGCCTCGAGGCGGCAGGCGCAGACGCGCGGGGAGGGGGGGGGGCACTTCTCTGGATTGCGTCTCTGACTCAACCGCTGGCTGCTCAGACGGAGGGCGGCACTCGCAGCTGGACTCGTCAAGAATACTGCACAGGCGAGGGGGGGAGGCGAGGGAGGGAGGGGACCGGGCTTTTCCTCGGCGCGTCGCGGCGGCGGCGCAGGCGACACGGCACATCCACCACGCTGCCGTCGGGAGCGAGGCGCAAAGGAGCGAGGGGCCGAGTCAAACCACGAGCTGCAGTCGGCCTCGAAGAGGTTCCCCGACCCGGGTCTGGGGAGCGGCCCGGGAACCCGAGCCCCTCCGAGGCCCTCGGTGGTCCTTGTTTTTTTCGGCGTCTTGGCTGTGCAGCATGGGGCTCGTGCACGAGAAGCCGTCCGCAAGAAGCCCAGCCCCGAGACCCCAGGACGCCCATTGAATTCTGGCGTGGGAGCGTCACGCTTCCCATCGCAAAGCCATCGAAACCCACGAAACCCACGAAACCCAGGGCACCCCGGAGGCAAGCAGGGTGTGTCTTGGCATGGGCCCCGATCGTATGCCCTGCGAGCGGATAGCGAGTCGCTCCGCTCAGCGGGGCGGGAGGCTGGCAAAGGCCAAGGGCGTTGACGCCTGGGAGCTGGGGGTGGTTAGCGTGTCGCGCCGAAGCTTGGTGGGCCAGAACCGGCGGCGCGACACGCTAAGCAGGCCCACTTGGCCGTAGATTGTTGAATCTCGGGCTACGGGGGTCGTTTCTGGGCGCCCAGGAGATCAAACACTGATCCGGGACACAAACCTATCCCTGGGAAAGGAGTGGAGATCTCCTCCTCCGCCTAGAGGGAGGCCCCTTAGATGTGGTCCGACCAGATTGGGTCGGAGGATCTCACCGCACCGCCGACACATCGGCGATTCATCGCCGATGCATTGGCGATGCATCGGCCACGCACTGGCGACGATGGCGATGCATCGGCGACGTCGGCGTGGGGAAAATCGGACCCCGCATCGAGACGCATCGCCGATGCATCGCCGATGCATCGCTGATGCGACGCGATCCGCCGAGCCCATCTACTCGTCCACTCCAACCCCATCTAGGAGGCCTAGATCCACCCCAGCCCTCCATGCGTCCTGGAAAAAATTACGACGGAGGGTTGCTGTCCATTTCCAAGCCCCACTGGGCCCTGGCGCTCCCTAAAAAACGGCCCTCGGGTAAAAGTCTGTCCCGGGGAAAGTGGTAAAGACCCCGAGGGTCCACGTGATGCAACGCAAAAGTCCTGACATCGGGGATCTGAGAAGTGGGAGCGCGGGAAGAGGAAGAGTGGGGGAGGGAGGAAGGATGTTCGAGGAGGAGGGAGGAAGGGAGGGAGGGAGGTTCGAAGAGGGAATGGAGAAGGGAGGGAGGAGGTTCGGGGATCGACGCTTCTGAACACTTTGGGTTCCTTCGGGGCCTCTAGAGGCCTCCCGAAGCTGGAGACCTCAGAAGACCTCCGTGGGACCTCCGATGGTCCAAAGGGGGGGGGAAGGGGTGGAGGGGTGGAGGGGGGGGGGACAGGGAGGCCGGGAGGTGGGAGGGGGCGTTGAGGATGGCCGGGTGCACGTGGACAGGGCGGCTGGATGAGGGAGGGGGAGGGGGAAGGAGAGAGGAGGAAAGGAGAGGGAGAGGGGCGAGGAGGGGGAGGAGGATGAGCGCACTCACCAAGAGAAGGGACAAGACGAGGGCAGGCGGACAAGAGGCGAGAAGAGGGCAAAAGGTTCGGGTCAATCGTGCCTTGAGGAGCGTGGCCGACAAGCGCAGCAAGCGCGGGCTGCCGCGCCGCAAGCTGCCAATATTGGGCGCCCCCTATCCCGCGGATTCGCCCCCCGCGATTCCGATGCGCATGACAGGCATGAAAACAGATATCAAAATACACGACAATGGAAGCAAGAACATCATTGGGGAACGGAAAGAACTGGCTCTCGCTTCAACGCCGCTCATTTTCGTCTGAAATCTTAGCAGCCGTTTCAACGATGAAGAGCGAGTCCTGATAAAAATGTGGCTCTCAAATAGCGCCGCGCACACTAATCTCAAAAGTTTGCGGCAATTTCAACGATGGAGGGTGGGCGGGGTTCAACAATGTGGTTCACGCCGGAGCCCCGCGCACATTTGTCCTAACATGTTACAACATGTTCCCGGACGGAGGGCGGCTAAACTTCAAATGTGGCGATCGCCATAGCGCCGCGCACATTCGTCTAAGAAGCAGGCAACAGTTTCGAGGCCTCGCATGGTTGAAGTCCCAGGCGCGGTGTTCTGGCACGGCTGAGGATTGTCAGGACGCAACAGTCACGATGATTCGCGGTGCTGAAGTCCTAGGACTGGTTGGTGGTGTTTTGGCACGCTTTAATACTACCAGGACGCAACAGTCATTGTGATTCGTGGCGCTGCAATCTCAGGAGTCGTGTTTTGGCACAGTTGAAAAATATCAATCGTTTGTCTTCCAGCAAGACATGTCCGGAAATGAAGCGACACATGTAGGAGCCAATGGGGAAGGAGCTCAGACGGAGGGCAGATTGCAGCATCGCTGACGCACTTCGGCTTCACTTTGAAAGCAGTGCTTGCGCTTGGGGGTTCTCGCTCGCCTTCTCAGGAACTGGGCCCGTTTGCCGACCCCCTCTCAAGATGACACTCAACAGCCGATCCCGCCTGTGCTTTTTGACAGTAAGATCTACCGATCGACCTGAGATCAAGATGGCGACTGCTATCGCTTTGCATTGCGATGGCACTGTTTCGCATTGCTTTGCGCTACATAAACTGCACCACCTGGATTGTACCACCTGGACTGCACCGCACCACATTGGTTGCACCATCTAGATAGTATCGCATAGGTTGCAAGAAATCACTGTTTGGGATCCACGCTGGCTGCCATCCACCTCCTCCTCCTTCTACTCCTTCTCCCCCCTACCGGGCGCACGCACGAAACGCCCGCGTGCGTGATGGGAGGATGACGGAGGAGTATGAGGAGGAGAGGGATCATAGGCACGGAGGAAGGAGAAGAAGAAGAAGAAGAAGGAGGAGAAGGGGGAGGAGGGCCAGGAAGGAGGTGGATAAGGAAGCGGCTGGAGGGGAGATGAGCAGGACGAGGATGAGGATGAGGAGGAAGGAGGGTGGAGGGAGCAGGAGGAGGAAGAGGAGAAGGGAGGGACAAGGGCACAGCTGGAGGAGAGCGCGAGGAGGGAGGAGGGAGAGGGCGAGGAGGACGAGGAGGAAGGAGGACAGGGGGGGAGGCCAGGAGGAAGGAAGGAGGACGAGGAAGGAGGACGAGGAAGGAGGACAGAGGGCGAGGAGGACGAGCAGGAAGGAAGGAGGACGAGGAAGGAGGAGGAAGGAGGACAGGGGGGCCGACGGAGGCATTGGGGGGAGAGGGCCTTGGGGCCCTTAAGACGAAGCCAGCACGAGGAGAAAGCCGGGCGAGGAGGAATCGAGAATCTCTGAGATCTGGCGGCTCTCGAAGATATCTCGGACGCCGCGGCCATCTAAGAGCGTTCTGGCACGCTCTGATCTCGCTCCAAGACGCTCTGGAACGGATTCGTCCTCGTCCTAGCCCCGCCCGAGCCTTCCCTCCTCGCCTCGCCCTGGACGGCAAAAGGGGGGCGCTCCACGGCGCCGGAGCCCGCCGGGAAGGAGATGCCGATCGGGAAGCGCGTGTGGGAGTCACCGCCCGTGCCGACCTGCACCCCCCTTCAGGGGAGAGAAGCCAGAACCCAGATCGAGTCGACAACGAAGGCTGGCGGTGCGCAAAGGGCGTGGCGGGAGGGGGGGGCTTCTTAGAAGGAGGCTCTTTCTTAGAAGGCGCCGGCCTTACATCTAAACAGAAGGCCCGCGCCTTCTAAGAAGCAGTGGTGCTTCTAAGAAGCCCTCCCCCCTCCCCCCTCCCCCCCTCTGCGCGTGGTGGGAAGGACCGCGCACGCCCGTGAAGCTTGCGACGACGCTGAACTGAGCCACCGAAACCGAATCGGGGCGGTCGAGCGCGAAAGCAACCATCGACTACACGCAAGAGTGACTCTGGGTACTAGACCTTTGGTGCGCGGGTACCAAACATGAGCGCGCAAGACGCTGCTACCGTATCGCGCTCGGCGACCCGAGGACCCCATTGGGCCCGCACCAGAGGTCACTCCGGCGAGAGGTCACTCTTACTAAGGAACCGAACTCTATACACCGACGCTCTGTCCGGCCTCACACTGAATCTCGCACAGGAAAGCGGCTCCTGGTGTATACGGGATCCTGGTGTATACATTCTTCGTTGTTTCCCTGGGAAAACGGGGAAAAAAGTATACACCACACCACCCCGACGTCGTCCCCGACCCTCAAACAAGTTCTGGGATTGAGAAACCGCCCGCCACTGGTAATGTATATGCTCCAGTTTCCGACTTACGTCCAGTCGAAGCTAAGCCACCGAAGCCGAATCGGGGCGGTCGAGCGTGACAGCCAGCAGGCCTGACCCGAGCGGGCCGCCTGCGCGTTCCCAGCGGCGGGGACTCACCCAGCACCACCTGCGGCGAAGGGGGGCCTCAGGGGAGAGGGGGGGAGGGAAGGTCGCATCGTGAACAAACTCGACTGACATGCTGCTTGCGACTTGCTACCTCTGGGGGCCCTTGTCAGGCCGCGGGACTGTCAAACGACTACCCAGGATGAAACGGCGGCCCTGGGCATTGGGTCCAGACTTCAGAGGGGTCGACGCTGAAAAAAATCATGACGTCGGCGGGGGCGGAGGAGGGTGGGGGAGGAGGGAAAGCGGGGGGGGGGGCCTCTTTGGACGTCCTGCAAACAGGCGCGTACGGCTTGTGGGAGATGGCGAAGCCGGCGGGGGGGCCAGAGCTGGACCTGACCAGCCCTGGACCCCGACCGTGCAGCGCTCCACGGGGTGCGCCGCCACGGGAGGAGGGGGAGGAGGAGGAGAGGGGGAGAGGAGGAGGAGGAGGAGGGAGGGAGGAGGAGGAGGAGGGGAGGAGGAGGAGGAGGGAGGGGAGGAGGAGGAGGAGGAGGAGGAGGGAGGAGGACGGGGAGAGAGGAGGAGGAGGAGAAGTATTTAGGAGGAGGAGGGAGGAGGAGGAGGAGGAGGAGGAGGAGGACGGGAGGAGGAGGAGGAGGAGAAGTATTAGGAGGAGGAGGAGGAGGAGGAGGAGGAGGAGGAGGAGGAGGAGGGGGAGGAGGAGGAGGAGGAGGAGGAGGAGGAGGAGGAGGAGGAGGAGAAGCAGGAGGAGGAGGAGGAGGGGGAGAGAGGAGGAGGAGGTTTCGGCTCGAGTTTCCACTGGGAGCCCCCGCGCCCGTCGCCAGCTCCTGGGCCTTGCGGGCCGCTCCGCACGCCCAGCCGCAGCGCATCGCCTGATGGTGCATGCCCTGCAAAGCAAAGACTAACCTTAGGTCGGGCCTGTTCCCTCGGCGGTGGACAAACCTCCCTTTAGCACACCTCCCCTTAGTGAAAACGGCCTGGGACCGAAACCGACGGACCTGGACCCGCAAAAATGACGGCCGCGCGACCCTCTCGCGAACAGAAAACGGCCAATTCGCTAATCGACCTCCCAGGCTGGCAGCTCGCCGTGCAGTGCTTCGATCACCGCCCTGGCCGACGCCGTGCCGCTGTCGGCCGCGGCCAGCACCCGCCGACGCGCGGCAGATCGTACCGGACGCCTCCGCCGGTGCCCAAAACCTCCATGAGCACACTGCACAGCCACCCGCCGGGGCAGGGGAGGGGAGAAGCGCGGGAGGGAGGGAAGGAGAGGAGGAGGGGAGGGCGGGGGGGGAGGGAGGGGTGTGTGGATTGGTTGTGGAACAGTGGGTGACGGGGGCGGGGGAGGATGGGAGGGAGGGGGGAGGGAAGGGGGGAAGTGGAGGGGGAGGAAGGAGGAAGCGGCATCGTTGGAGGGTGGAAGGAGGAGGGGAGGAGGAGCGAGGGAAGGAAAACGGTAGAGGAGAGAGGAAAAGAGGGACGGAGAGAGGGAAGGAGAGAGGAATAGCGAGAGAGAGGGAGGGATAGAAATAAGAAAGTGTGAAAGAGAGAAAGAGAAAGAGAAAGACGGAGTGTGAAGGGGACGAGGAATGCATGGATGGGGAGGGGCTCGGGAAAACGGGGGAGAACGCGGAGGAGCAATGACTCCTCCAGCGTTCTGCTCGCCAGAGGTACACTCCCCCGTCCTCCCTCCAACAAGGGTGCACTTCCCCCTGTCTCCATCCTGCCTGCATCCTCCATCATCTTCCCTCCTTCTGTCCTCCTGCTTCCTGCTCTTCATTACCAACATCACCATCACCATCATCATCATCATCATCATCATCATCATCATCATCATCATCATCAGCATCATCATCATCACCCTCATCACCATCACCATCACCATCACCCTCATCACCATTACCATGATTAGCATCATTATCCTCATCGTCATCGTCATCATCATCATCGTCATCATCATCATCATCAGCATCATCATCATCATCGTCATCATCAACACCCCTCTCCTTGTCCCCTCGTCCCCTCGCCCCTCCTCCCTCCAGCTTGCGGCCTCGAGCCTCCCTCCCTCCCAAGCCCACTCCTGCCTTGCCCCTCCTCCTCATCCTCACTATCACCATCAGCACCATTACCAACACCGCAATCATCATCACCACCACCACCATCACCATCAGCATCAGCATCAGCGTAACCATAACCATCAACACCACCAGCTCCACCACCACCACCATCATCATCAACAACATCATCAATATCGTCGTCGTCATCCTTAACAACAACATCATCACCACCACCACCATAAAAAAAACAGCAACACCGTGACCATTCCCATCACCATCACCGCCCCCATCATCTTCCCGATCACCATCACCATCATCACCGCCATTATCATCACAATAACCATCATCATCACCATCACCACCATTATCACCACCATCATCTTCATCACTAGCATCACCATAATTATCATTATCATCATCATCACCTTCATCATCATCACCACCATCATCATCATCATCATCATCACCTTCATCATCAGCATCATCAGCATCATCACCTTCATCATCAGCATCAGCATCATCATCAGCATCCATTAGCATTACCTTCCATCGTCCCCTCGCCCCATCCCTCCTGCAGCCTGCGGCCTCCGTCCTCCCTCCCTCCCGCCCTCCATCCCTGCCTCCGTCCCTCCCTCACCACTTGCAAGCTCCAGAGGGACTTTAAACAAACAATATATATATGTATATATATATATAGATTTGTCTGAAAGCTCCAGAGGGACTTGCCCGGCCAGGCGGCCGACGCTTTAGCTAAGCACGCGGTGCAGTTCCAACCGTCGCGACAGAGAACACTTGGGCCTCGCAGCAGCGATCATTGCTGCTGCGGCAGCAACGTTGACATGTCCTCCGGTGACTACGATACGCTCTTCCAGGCAGAAGGGCCCGTATTTTCAACCCCTCCTGCATCCTTCCCGGTAAAGAGGCACGCGCACAGCCATGACCGTAGCGAATCAATGAGACCCCTCCTCCTATCCCCCTCCCCCTCCGCTGACCCCTCGTCGCCTCGTTCCTCCTCCTTTGAGCGTGCAGCCTCTGTCCTGCCCCGGGAGCAGCATGCGGTTGGGCCACAGGTGGATACTGCCATCGCCAAGCCCCCCTTTTGCCCCCTCGCCATCATCACTCCCGCTCCATCACGGGAATTCGTCGCACGACTTGACGAACAAGAGCGTCAAGCATCCCAAACCGTAGTACCGCCGCCGCGCAGCCGCCTCCCGCTACGACCGAACCCAATCACATGCTCGCTCGCTTCGCCTTGTCTCCTCACCCCCCTCGCCCCCCCTCCCCCTCTCACGGTGTCCGGGGGCAGCATGCGTTTGAGACACGAGTGGGCAACGCCGTCGCAAGGCCCCTCCTCTTGTCCCCTCGCCCCCCTTCGCGTGCCCTCACAATCATCACCCGTCCCCCTGTCCCCTCTGCGGGACCCGAATTATACCAGCACTGCTCGTGCTATGGCCCAACATTTCGGAGCGAATCCAACGGTGACGACGAGGGCGCCCCAGGAAGTCGAGGGAGGCGAATCCGAGGCAAGGGGAAGCCGGCCCCGAGCGGCGCCGCCCTCGCACCTCCGCGGCGACGACGTCGTCGCAGCCGACGCGCGTAAGCGGCGACGGGGCTGACGGCCCCCCCCCCCCCCCAGGTAGGCAGCGGGAGGCCCCCAATTCTCCCCCTCCTCCTCCTCCTCCTCCTCCTCCTCTTCCTCCTCCTCCTCCTCCTCCTCCTCCTCCTCCTCCTCCTCATTGCCTCCCTCCTCCTCATCCTTCTCCTCCCCTCTCCTCCTCCTTCTCCTCCTCCTCCTCCTCCTCCTCCCCCTCTCTCCTCCTCCTCCTCCTCCTCCCCCCTCCCCCCTCTCCTCCTCCTTCTCCTCCTCCTCCTCCTCCTCCTCCTCCTCCTCCTCCTCCTCCTCCACCCTCCTCCTCCTGCTCGCCTCCCTCCCTCGCGTCCCTTCCTGGCGGAGGAGTGCGGGTGCCCCCTTCCTCCTCTGGCCTTCGCCCCCCTCGCAGCCCGCCCCCCCACGGTGTCGGGGAGCAGCATGCGGTTGAGCCAGGAGTGGATGATGCCGTCGCCGGGCCGGAGCGCCACGCCTCGTTTGGCTGGGGCTCGAGGAGGAGGAGGAGAGGAGGAGAGGAGGCGGAGGAGGAGGCGGAGGAGGAGGAGGAGGAGGAAGAGGGAGAACTCCAGGTGTTCGCATCGAGTCTGCGCAACGTCAAAACAGGAGGAGGAGGAGAAGGAGGAGGAGATGAGGAGGAACCAAAAGGAGGAGGAAAAGGAGGATGAGAGAAGGAGAGGAGGAGGAGGAGGAATTCGGAGGAGGAGGAGGAGGAGGAGATAGGAGGAGGAGAGGACGAGGAGGGAGGAGGAGGAAGAGGAGGAGGGCGGGATAAGGAGGAGGACGAGGAGGAGGACGAGGTGGAGGAGAGGAGGAGGAGGAGGAGGAGAGGAGGAGGCGAGGAGGGAGGAGGAGGAGGAGGAGGAGGAGGAGGAGGAGGAGGAGGAGGGGGGGGAGAAACCAAGAGGAGAATTCAGGAGGAGGACGAGGATGAGGTAAGTGGAGCCAGGAGGAGGAGGATGATGAGGAGGAGGAAGAGGAGGGGGATGGTAAAAGGATGCACGTATGTACGTATGTACATATACATATATGTTTGTGTATATACTTACGATTACCAAATATCTTTACATCTCGGAGGGGTGGAACCGCACACACACACATGCAGATATACACACACGCGGTCCGAACCTTCTGGAATCCGCCTGCCCGTTCGTTTGCTCTCAGCGGGCGCCGCCTTCACAACGCGGAGCCACTGCGCCAGGGTCGTTCACAATCCCATGTCCCCACATTCTAACCAGGCCCTTCTTCCAGCGTTGGCGACGTGGCGCGACGGGCACGTGCCTACCAGCGAATGGGCCGCCTACGACCACAATAGCTCTGACAGCAAAATCCCAGCGTGCGTGAAGAACACCGAACGCGAGAAGGCGCGCTTGGAGACCGCAGACAAAATCGGGCGGGCACAAGCACACATATTGAACCTGCGCCCGCCTCGCGCACGAGACAGCACGGCGCTGCTGATTGAGTTGTTGCATTCCCCGGTCGCCTTGCGCATTATCTATGACAACTTCGATGTCATTTCTGCGAGCGTAGGTGTGGTGGCAAAACCCAATGTGGTTCTCCACGAACGCACTGGTCAGCCCTCCGAGCTGATTGGCGATAGTTTCAACCCGTGGACGCTAGAGAAGGCCATGCGCGCTCCAAGCTTGGCGCTCCCAAGGCCGCCCCGGAATAGCAAATAATTGCCGCCAGCAGCAGATGCCTCTTGCAAACGCTGTCGGCGTTGGGGAACGGTGGCGACATGGTGTCCGAGCTGCTTGTTGCGTCCGCCCAAGACCTGGAGGGCGCGCTTGCGGCTAGTCGGGGCTGGAGGAGCTTCAGGGCGAAGAATGTTTTGCGCATTCGGCGGCCCTCCTCGCGCAGCCCAGGCCGCGGGCGGCACCAGAAGACTCCCGCAGTGGCGCTCGCCTGGAGCGGGCCCCGTCGCGCGGTGTCCCAGCGTCTGGGGACCACGGCGTGGGCCACCAGAAAGCGGGGCAAGCCGGTCTGCAAGGTTACCGCGCTGCACGCACAGAGCGCCGCCGCCCTATAGCTCTGGACCGTCCTCCTTCGCCAGGCTAAGGCTGCGCGGCGCTGCGCGCAAGAGGTTTTCTGTGGACCACAGAGCTGCGACTGTTGCCCAGTTCGGCTCCAACGTGGTGCGGTTCGTGCATCTACTGGCCTTCGGCCCCGCCCGCCGCCGCCCCCGGGCGCGGCCTTTGGATGTTCGGCCAACCGACCAGGAAGCAAACGAGACAGCCAACCGAGCAGCCAACAACGCAGCTAACCAAGACCCGCGAGGTATCCGACCTGGCATCCGAACGTCAGCCAACGGACTCTGAAGGAGCCGACTACATTCCTCACCGCGTCTCGCGGCGTGGCGGCGGACTCCTACTGCGAAACAGCCACACCGGCGGACTGCGCCACGCAGGTCGCCTTCTGCGAAGCGTCGCAGTTGCTATCCACGCTCGGAGGCGCCGCGCCGGAGGAGGACGGAGAGGGGGGAAGCGACGGCGAGAGGGCGGCCGCGGGCAGCGACGAGCACGAGGTCGGCGCCGCCGCTGCGGCGGGAAGGGCCTGGATGCGCGCCGTGCTCTTGCCGGGACGGGCGCAACAAAGGCCTCCCCCTCCCCGCTCCCCCACTGCTGACTCGCCTGCCCGCCCCCCCCCCTCCTCCGCCTCTGCGACGCGCGCGCACGAAAAACAGGGGGTGAACGGAGCAGAAGCAAGAGGAAGGATGTAGAATGTCTTAAGAAAGGCAGGCTGCGAAACAAGGTGCACGGCGCGAAGAGCCAGTGCAGTCTTGTATCTAAACATGTATGTACAATCATGCTGTGTAAGTGTATGTATACACATGTAGATTCCGAGTGCTTCACCATGGGCATGGATCCGCTTGCTCTGTATTCTGCTAATTTGCCGTGCACAGCCCTGACTGCAAGGATCCCGTTGCATGTCGTCACTCGGAGTATCTGGCAGATTGCAGCTTCTGATCGGCTCCCCTCTGTTGTTGTTACCTTCTGTGGGCTGGATGATACACTGGCCCTCGGGTGCGATGCGATGCGACGAGGAGGAGCAGGAGGAGGAGGACGACGACGAGGAGAGGAGCAGGAGGAGGAGGACGAGGAGGAGGAGGAAGAGGAGGAAGAGGAGGAGGGGAAAGAGAAGGAGAAAGAGGAGGGGGAAGGGGAGGATCAGTTGCAGGAGGGTGAAGATGATACAGGTTTACCAGATGAGCTCCGAGTAGATTGGGTCGGAGGATGGCGCCACATCGCCGATGCACAGGCGATGCACTGGCCACGTCGGCAACGCATCGACCACATCGTCGATGCGGTGCGATCTTCCGACCCAGACTCTCGTACCCGATTTGGAAGGCCTGGAATTGATGTGGGAGAGGGGGTACATGGTAACCGCTCCCATGTTATCTCCGTCGCCATGGGTTTCCCGTGGGCTGTTTTGCATTTCCTTCTCGTCGCCGTCCGCCTGTTGCTGCTGCTGCCGCTGCTGCTTCTCTTCCTCCCCCCCCTCGTTCTCGTTGTCCTCCTCCTGCCACCTCCTGCCTCCTCCTCCTCCTCCTCCTCCTCCTCCTCCTCCTCATTCTCCTCCTCCTCCTCCTGCTCCACCTCCCCCTGCCTTCTGCATCCGTCTTCCGCGCCACCTCTGCACTTCAGGGATGGGGCCATGCGACATTGACCCCCAGGGCGATGGGGGCCCCGAGCAGCGCACACTCCACCTGGACGCCCTCTCTACCCCTCGGGCACCACCGATCCAGAACCCCACCTTTGAGCACCCGACCCTCCCTCCTCCAGCGGTCTGCCTCCTGCTGCCTCCTCCTCCTCCTCCTTCTCCTTCTCCTCCTCCTCCTCCTCCTCCTCCTCCTCCTCGTCCCACTGCGCCTCCTACTCCACTTGTCTTCCTCCTCGCTGTCCTATTCCTCCTCCTCCTCCTCCTCCTCTTCCTCTTCCTCCACTTCCTCCTCCTCCTCCACCTCCCCTTCGTCCAAGCTGGCCTCCTCCTCCTGCCACGCGAGGCCATGTCTGTCGAAGCTCGCACAGCCAGCCTCCGAGCATCACGTGGCCCTTTCGCAAGGCGTCGGGCCACGCGACGACGAGACAGGCGATGGCGAGCACCAGGCCCGACGACCCTTCCCCTGCATCCCCCCAACCTGCCCCCGGCCTCCTCCGCATTCCATGGTTAGACGAGCGCGTTCCACTACTCGCAAAGTAACTAATCGCAGATGGCCTGGATCCGCCGCGGGGCATATACAATAAAGTCTATCAAAACAGACATGTTTATTTTTTCTGACGTTTGCGAGTAGGCATTTTGCGAGTAGTGGAACGCGCTCGGTGATCCATGGTGCGCACCCAGCCACAGCAACACGCACATCGTGAGGGAGAGAGAGGGACAGAGGCTGGGCGCGCGTGTGGGTGCTGCCGTAGCTGCCCAGGGCCTCGCTCCCCCCTGCATTTGGCGGCGCGCATAAGGGGGGTATGGGGGAGGGGGGAAGGCGTCTCAGAAGGAGGCTGTTTCGTAGAAGGCGCCAGCCCTGCATCTGCAGACAAGGCCCGCGCATTCTAAGAGGCAGGGGTGCGTCTGAGAGACCTTCCCTCCTCCCCCTGCCCCCATCTGCGCGTAGCTGGTGCATCCTACTGCCCCTGCTCCCCGGCCCAAGGTGCCTCTGGCCCCGGCCCTGGCTAGAAGTGCCCCTGGCCCAAGGTGCTCCCAGGAATTCCAGGGAGGCCCCCACGGCCTCCAGAGCACCCCCCTCACGAGGCCCAGAGGGCCCCAGGGGCCCCAAAGTTGAGCCACAAGCTGGGGGCACCTCGGGCCAGCGGGACCTTTGGCGACCCCCGAATCCTGCCACCCCTGCTTTTTGTCGTCGTCGTCGGCGTTGTCGTTGTCCTCGTCTTCGTCGTCCTCCTCGTCCTCGTGCTCGTCCTGCTCGTCCCCGCTTTCATCCTCGTCGTCGTCGTCGTCATTGTCCTCGTCGTCGTCGTCGTCGTCGTCGTCGTCGTCGTCGTCCTCGTCCTCGTCCTCCTCGTCTTCGTCTACGTCCTCGTCCTTCTTCTCGTCTTCGCCCTGATCCGCGTCTCCGTTCTCGTCCTCGTCTCCGTCCTCGTCGTCGTCGTCGTCCTCGTCTCCGTCCTCGTCTCCGTCCTCGTCCTCGTCGTCGTCCCCGTTCCCGTCCCCGTCCTCGTCCTCGTCATTGTCGTCGCCTCCTCGCCGCCTCCTCGCCGCCGCCCCGCCGCCGCCCCAGGCGCCGCTCTCCGCCGCCGCCGCTGGCCCGGGGGCCACGCCGCCGCGGTCGCGGATGAAGTCCGGCAGCGTGTGGTGGGTCACCACGTCGACGGGCTTCGGGTAGGCCGCGGTGTGACAGAAGGACTGCATCACCTGCGGCGAGGAGGAGGAGGAGGAGGACGAGGAGGGGGAGGAAGAGGAGGAGGAGGAAGAGGACGACGACGAGGACGAGGAGGAAGAGGAGGAGGACGACGACGAGGACGAGGACGAGGACGAGAAGGAGGAGGAGGAGGAGGAGGATGAGGCCGAGGAGGTCGAGAGGAAATGAGGTCGAGAGGATATGGGGTAACGGGAGCGGGCCCAAGGACCGTCGAAAACTGCTCGGGATGGGAAGCGGTCCTGGGGCCATGGGCCCGACCCGTCTCCATCTCGATTTGTCCTCATTGTGCGTTCGTCACACAAAAACAAAAGGATCGAAGAGATCAACGGTATAATCGATTTACACCGAAATTTATTTGTTCGTCGAATCTAGAAGAACCCTTCGAATGCTCCGTGCAACATCGTACTCGAAAGGAAAGCTCAGGGCGGACGAAAGCGGGGCATTGCGAATGGGGGACGGGGCCGAAATCTGCTGCGTCGTTTGCGTCACGCCCCTGAGGCCAAAACGCCAGGAGAGGAGCAGCAACGCACACCAAGAGGCCCCCCCCAACGCCCCCTGGATCTTCGAGAATGGTCCAAGACTCCAGAACCGCCCCTTTAGGCCTCCAAGAGGTTTCCGAGAAGCCTGCTCGACAGACGCGGAGAACGAGGAGGGCGAGTCAACAACAATTGGATGCTGGGCGAAGGCAGGCAAATCCGTGGCTGCTCAAACGGTCTTCCCGTCGAAAAAAAAACAAATTTCCGAATCAACCCCAACGAACTAAATAATAAACGGGTTGCTTCCTGGAAGAATAAAATCCCAGAGCTCCGTTTTAGCACCCACAGGTTTGCCAGCCGCCGCCCGGCTTCTGAGACAGTTGCACGCGGGCAAGACGTCGGGAAATGTCGCGCAACACCTCCGACATCGGAAGCCGCAGACATCATCCTCTGGAGGCCGGCGGAACTCCGAAGGCCCCCCTGGGGCATGCACACGAGGCTCCTGAGGGCGTGCCCGTCGGCGAGAGCTGGAGCCTTGGAGAGAAGCGACTGCCCGCACACACGGCGTGCGGTCGCGCCCGCGCTGGCGTCACCACGCTGCAGCCCGAGCAAGCACGACACGTGCCCCCTGCAGAACAGGCCCACATCGAAGTGGCCCCAACCAGCACGTCGAAGTCATGGCGAACCACGACTGCCCAGCACGTTGCCATCATGCCGTCGTCGGCCACGAAGCACCGCGCGAAAGACAGCGAGGCAAGGCCGCAAAGATCCAGCAGGGTGTGCCATAGGTGGGGTGGTGTTTTGTGTTCCTTGGTCGAAGCAAGGAACCGCGCGAACCCCGAGGGGGGCTGGGAGGGGGAACGAATGGGGGAGAGGAGGCGGGTGGCCGCCAACAGGAGGCAGGCCCAGCGGCTGCGAGAGGCCAGTGGAACATTGGCCCGCTGTCAAGGAGCCGTGAATCCAACAAGGTTGACATCTGCAGGGGGCATACTCGGGATGCCAAGGGTTCCTCGCTTGGGTCCCTCGGGCTTCTGAGGCAGTGCCAAGCAATGCCAATCAACGGCTCCCAGCAATGCTAGGCAGCGTCAGGCGATGCCGAGTAATGCAAAGCCAATGAATGCCAATCGGTGCCAAGAAACGCCAATCAATGTAAAGCAATGCAGAGCAAATCAACGCAATACCAAGCAATGATTACAACAAAACAAGTAACGCCAAACAAAACCAAGCCAGTGCAAAACGGTACAAAGCAATGCCAAGCAACGCCGAACAGTTTAAAGTAATGCCAAGCAAGGCCAAGCAACCCACAAGTAACGCCAAGCAATCCTAAACAACGTCACGCAACGCAAGAAATCCCAAATAACAAATAATGGTTTGAATTGCGTTGATTTGCAGCGCTTGGAACTGTTCTGATTTGCTTTCCGCTGGCTTCCACTGACCTTCCGCTCTGTCTCCGCCTGTTCAACGGCCCTCGTTTTAACTCCGCCGCCTGAAGACCCGGCAAACTGCGGCTCATTGGATGCTGTCCGTGCGGCGTGAGACTCCCGGCACAACAGCCGCAGCTCGCTCTCGCTCGCGCTCGAACCAGATCGGTTGGCATCGGAGTCAGCGCCGCGCCATCTCGGGCAAATTTGAAATCCGAATTGATTACTGGAATGCTGGTGAGAGCAATGACAGGGGGGGACTGGCACAAGGGAGGACACATCGCCTCAAATCGGCGATACCTCATATATCGCCGATAGATCGGCGACAGGCTCCCAGTAGTGAGTCCACACGATCCTGGGCGGGTTGGGGCAATTGGGCTCCTACCGGCGATAAATGTGCAATTGGGGGTCGATGCACCCCCCCCCCTCGATTTATGTTGCTCCCATCGTACTTAAGGACCGCATCCTAGAAATAATTTCGAGCTCTCGGAAAAGCGTCGAGAGAGTGTCGAAAGAGTGTCGAAACAGTGCCGGACGAGTGTCTCCCAGGGCCCGACACGTGAAAACCCTCGAGTTTCGGTACTTTCTGGGCGCTCGATTTTTTTCTTGGCGATCAGGGCTCAAGTAGGTTGGAACATCATAACCCTCGATGCCCATCCCCCCCCATCGTTGCCCCGGAGCTGGAATATCGGCACTAGGTCGGTTCGAACTGGCGCCGCAGGAAATCGATCCGAGCCGGACCGGCGGAGTCCGAGAATGCACCCTGGCCGTGGGTCTGTCCCCCTAGGAGGGAACTTCGGACGAAGTATGCAACATACCAACCAAAATATCCAGAGCATGACCGAAAATGCTTGGAAAATCGTCCTCAGACTATCTTTTGACTAGTTTTGAATACTCCTCCTGTAGTTGAGCAGGGACCGACCGTCCTGGCATTCCTATAGTCCTACCACGGAATGTTCTTAGAACCCCAAAATGTTCTAAGAACAAACACGCTGTTCCTAGAGCAGAAACCCGATGCGATGAAACAAGACAGGCCCCGCCAGAAATATTCTGAGAACATTCCGTGGAACCCACAATAGGTTCTGAGAACATTGTTTGGCAGGGCTACCTGGCCATCGCTCGGACGTTCATTCCCCGTGTTTTTTGTCGGTATCGTGCGTGGCTTCTTCGCCAAATGATCAAGGATGCTCCTCGATGGTCCTCGCCGAAGGAAAAATGCACACGCCCGGGCGATGCCAAGCCATAGGCGAGCCAGGACGCCTCGCCACTGCTTGCTGTCGAGGCACAGGGCCCGAGGGAGCCCGGGGCCGCGCGGCGCGCGGCCGCGCGGCCGCGCGCCCGTGGCCTCTCCGCCCTCGGGTTCGAGGGCGCCTGCTATGCTTCGCGACTTTGGACACCCGAAATGGGTACCGAAAGAATGGGTACAATGCCCAACAACACATGTTGTCCCAAACCAACAGCGGCCGCTGTTGGGCAGGCGGCCTTCTGTCTCGAATGGACACAGGCCGCGGCGGCGTGGACAGCGAATCCTGTTCAGAATGAACAAGAACTGCTGTTGGGCATCGTACCCATTCTTTCCGTGCCCATCTCGGGCGTCCAGAGCGCCGTCGTGGACGGGCCCGGCCGTCCCCCCCCCCCCCCGCCAGGTAGCGTTGGGTCGGGCAGAGCCCCCCTACAGGCAGATTTTGGACAACAAATGAGAATAACAGTCAAACAAAACACCAAACACATATGCACGAAATCGTCCCCTGACCATGTCTGGCTGGCCGTCCCCCCCTCCCAGGTGACGTTGGGTCGGGCAGGTACCCTTACAGTTAAGTCGGGCCTGTCCCCCTACAGCGGGATTTTCGACGAGAAATAAAACATACCCTAAACATAGCCAAAAAATGATCCAAAAATAATGCGGGGACTATTTTTTGAGTTTTTTTTTGTTTTACCTCCTTGGGGGATTTTTAATTGTTCGTCGAAAATCCCCTTGTAGGGGGACAGGCCCGACATAACCAACCCTACATGCAGATTTTGGACGAAAAATGGAAATAGTAAAACAAAACCTCAAAATATACACGAAATCGTCCCCTGACCATGTTTAGACAATTTCTGAAAATTCCTCCTGCAGAGGGGCACGCCCGACGGAAAGGCACCGTCAAGATTCGTGCTGACGTGGCAGTTTTCCAAGACACTGCCGAGAGACGGCGCCGGCGCGAAACGTGACGTCACGGGACCCCCTCCGCCCCCCCCGCCCCTGGTAGCGCTCGTGGTCCGTCATCGCTCGGGAATCCGCCGACCCTGTCGGCGTGTGTGAGACGGTTTTCCGTTTGAGTCGCCGTCTCCACTCTTCCCCTTTCCCTAGGCCCTCCTCCTCCAGCGACCCAGCCAGACGAAAATCGAACAACGCCGCAAGCGACTCCAAGGAAATGCCTCTTCCCTGCTCCCTTCCTCGCGCGGGGGGGCGGGTCCCAGGGAGGGTCGCCCCCCCCACGGGGGGTGGCCTGGGAGATTCGCGACCCCCCCCCAGTCCCGACCCCCCTTGAATCGCCGGCTCGGGGATGGGAATCGGGACCCTGCGAAAAATGGGAAACGCAATTTCCCTTCGAAAAACCGAACTCCGTGAGCCGGGATTGCGATTCCCATAAATTTCTCATTATGGGAAACGCAATCCCCGTCGACTGCCGGCGGGACCGGGGGTGGGGGCGGGTTTTCGCCTTCGAGTTCCTCCTCCCTGCCAGGCCGCTCTGCCAGGAGCCTGGGGCCCGGGCCAGGCATGGGCTCGTGGCGCCGTGGCGCCGCCCGCACCTCTCTGCAGACCCGCCGCTCTCTGCCGCCGCCGCGGTCCCGGCTCAAGCCGGCCGCGCCCGTGCCCGTCTGACTCTCGTGTTGCACCGTCGCGGGGCAACCATCGGGGGGAACGGGCTGGCATAGAGGGGGAGGGGAGGCATCGACCTGGAATCGGCGATACATCGTCGGTAGATCGGCGATCGGCGCCCGACAGCGAAACCGCACCTCCCTGGGCGGGTTGGGGCTATCGGGCCCCTATCGGAGATCAATGGGCGATTGGGGGTGGATGCATCCCCCACTGTGCCTGTCCCCCCCCCCTATGCTTGCCGCCGAAGCATACCCCGTCCGACTCACTCCGCGCCAGGAGCCGTCTTCTTCGCTATTCTCCCTTGCATCCTTCTAGTCCCTCCTCTTTCGTCCCTCCTCCTCCTCCTCCTCCTTCTACTCTCCTCCTGGCCTTAGGTCGGGCATGCCCCCCTACAGGCGAACTTTGGACGAACATTTTAAAGTGACCCCCAAAAACCCAAAATTATCAAAACATACCAGAAGACTATTTTTACTATGTTCGAATACTCCTTCGGTGGAGGGACAGGCCCAACCTAATCCTGGCAGGAGGACCCCCCAAAAACACCCAAATTATCAAAACATACCAGAAGACTATTTCTCACGATGTTTGGATACTCCTTCGGTGGAGGGACAGGCCCGACTCAATCCTGGCAGGAGGGCCCTCAAAAAAACCCAAATTATCAAAGCATACTAGAAGACTATGTTCCACTATGTCTGGATGTTCCTTCGGTGGAGGGACGGGCCCGACTTAATCCCGGCGGGAGGACCCTCCAGGCAGGCCTCAACGGGAGGCCACCCCCGCGCCTGCAGGCGAGAGCGGCCTGGCGGCGGGGCACGCCCGTGGCCCGCCGAGGCCGCGGGCGGCGAGGACGGCAGCGGTGCTGTTGTTGATGATGCTGGTGATGATGATGGCACTGGAAGTGACGACGGCGATGGCGACGGCGATGGCGATGGCGATGGCGATGGCGATGGTGATGGTGATGCTGATGGTGATGGTGATGGTGATGATGATGATGCTGTTGATGATGATGGTGGTGACGATGATGATGTTGCTGGTGATGATGATGATGATGATGATGATGATGGTGATGATGATGCTGTTGATGATGATGGTGGTGATGATGATGATGCTGGTGACGATGATGATGTTGCTGGTGACGATGATGATGATGATGATGATGATGATGGTGATGGTGGTGGTGATGGTGATGATGATGATGCTGTTGTTGTTGATGATGATGATGATGATGATGATGATGCTGGTGACGATGATGATGAGGAAAACGGCGGTGACGATGAAGATGACGATGGCAATGACGATGGTGGTGGTGGTGATGATGATGCTGGAATGTGTGAGGATGGTGAAGGCGAAGATGATGGTGCTGATGACAAAGTATGGGTTGGTGGTGATGATGATGATGATGATGATGATGATGATGATGATGACAAGCATCAATGGAACTTCAGCCACGCCCGCCTGCCCCACGATCGGAAACTAACGCCGTGCACTGAGCGACGGAGCACATGCACTAAAGTGTCCGGGGGGCCCAGGGCAAATATTTACACTGAAAGCGAAACATACATCTAAGGTGGTCAAAATCACGCGGTACAGATTCAAGTGTTTCGCTGGGCTGCCCAAACAGGCAGACTGCGTCGGCGGAGGAAGGAAGAGGAGGAGGAGGAGGAGGAGGAGGAGGAGGAGGAGGGGGAGGGGGAAGGCGAGAGAGACCACTTCAAAGCAAGGAGCGGCGCACCAGCCAACCTGCCATAGGCGAGCCGTCGCGTCGCATGATGATTATGATGATGATGATGATGATGATGATGATGATGATGATGATGATGATGATGATGAGGAGGAGGAGGAGGAGGAGGAGGAGGAGGAGGAGGAGGAGGAATGGGGGCTGTGGAGTCACCAAGTCGGCGGAGAAGCCAAGGCACGCAAGGTCCTTCAATTCATCGCGCGTCATTGGCCCGGTCGTGTCCTGCAGGGCTATGCCAGTTCCTGCCTCCTCCTGCTTCGCCCTATCCGTGCTGCTGCTGCTCCTCCTTCCCCTGGCCCTCCTCCTCGGCCCCACTATCGTGCGTCTACTTCCACGTGCTCGTGTTTCTGCGCCTAGTCATTCGCCCTCCTTCTTGTACTTGTGCACACACGTCGACTCATGCTCTTACTTCTTCCCATGCTTCTACTCGTTTTCCACCTCCACATCCTGCTTCCCCCCACTCCCCCTTTAAATCATAAGATTATGTCAACCATCACGCACAACACCACGGGTGACACAACCACATCGCGACTCATCATGTCGCTAGGCAAACTCTGAACACCGCACAAGCCGATATGCAACAAGCGAACTTCTGCAATGAACCGTGTCCTGAATGACAAGTGGACAATGCAGTTGCGACGGGCGGGAGAAAGACGAAGGAGAGGGAAAACAAGGAGAAAGAGGCGAGGGAGAAGAACAGAAAGACGCCTCAGGCGAACTAGACAATACCAAGCTTTTCAGTTCGGGCTACGAAGGCGTGCACATGAAACCAAGAGAAAAGAGATCGCATCGCTCAGGAATGAACTCGACGCCGCGACTCTGTCTTTAAGAACATACTGATGCACCCGCTCGTACCCGTACTCATACGTCTACACTTGCTCATAACGTGTGTACCCCTACCCCTACCACATACAACTCTTTAGCTTCAGCTCCGACTCCAAATCCCTCTTCGACTCACGCCGCTACCTCTGGTCCCACACCTACCGCTACTCCTCTTGCTCCTAATCCTCATCCTAGCCCTCTACCTTGTATCCCTCTTTTGTCCCGCTCTCCTCTATCACAGGCTGCAGTATCCCTTCCCTCGCAGCCCTCTCCCTCCGCCGCGTTCCATCCGGGCAGAATATATGTCACACTTCTGCCTGGTGCTGCCTGCTGAAGGGCCTTGAGGAGGGAGGACGGCGGAGGCAGGGGGCTCTGCAGTTCGCGCCTGCAGGCCAACCCACCGAGGCGTTTGCAGCCTGCTTGCAACGCCGCGAGGGCGCTGCAGGGTGGGGCCGAAGCACCCAGAAAACGACTATCCAACACTACTGGAACGCGTCTGGGCAATCTAATAACGAATCTGACGCTGGGGACAGCGGGCGCACGACTCCCTGCTCGAAGGGGAACCTTCCGCTATAGCGAACACGCGCAGTCCTGCTAGACGATCTTCGCCGACGGAAGCCAAGCCGACGAGGGGATCCACAGTCAGCTACAAGACAGTGCAGCCGCGACCCCCCCCCGACAAAAAACATGTGTACAAAGCGGCACTCCAGAGAAGGATGAGGAGGAGAGGGAGGAGGAGGAGGAGGAGGATGAGGAGAAGGAGACGCGGGAGGAGGAGGAGGAGGAGGAGGAGGAGGAGGAGGAGGAGGAGGAGGAGGTGGAGGTGGTGGGTGGTGGTCACTGCATGAGGTAAAGCAGCTCAGTCAGAGCAACACGCACCACGACCACGACGACGCCGACAAGGACGACGGAGACGAGGCGCGCAGACGATCCGCACCGAAGCACGGACTAAAGAAAGGGTCCACCCTGCAGGTTCGGTTGTAGCCTCCGCTGAGCACAGGCCCCCCAGAGTATCAGCCAGACACATCGGGCTTGCACCCTCATGCCTTGATGGACTCTGGGCGCGTTCCTGCACTGCTGTCACTGCCGCCACCACCCCCTTGTCAGGGCCACCGACTTGGGTGACGGCGACAGCGACAGAGGCGGTGGCCGACGCGTCCCAGAGCTAAGGAGCTGTAAGCACCGCGGTTCAGAGAGCAGGGAAGACAGACGGACGGACGGGCAGGCAGACAGCCAGGCGGTGTGCAATGCCTGCCACGCCAAGTGGGTGGTCACTTAACGGCAGAAGGTAAACCAATCCCGAGCAGCGCAACACGCACCACGACCACGACGACGCCGACAACGACGACGGAGACGAGGCGCGCAGACGATCCGCACCGAAGCACGGACTAGGGATAGGGCCCAACCTGCAGGTTCGGTTAACAAGCACATCGTTGAGCGGTGCTGTAGCCACCGCTGAGCAAGCCCCCCAGGACATCAGCCAGACAAGTCGGGCTTGTGCCCTCATGCATTGCTGGACTCTGTTCGTGGCACTCCACAGGAGGAGGAGGAGGAGGAGGAGGAGGAGGAGGAGGAGGAGGAGGAGGAGGAGGAGGAGGAGACGGAGGGTGGTAGAGGGATGCTGCTGTCGCTGATGATGGTGATGAAGAGCAGGAGGGCGGAGGAGAGAGAGGAGGGAGGGGTAGGAGAAGGGAGGGGGGATGAAGGAGCGCAAGTAGCATGAAGCACAGCAGGTGTCGATCACGCATGCACGCTGACGGTAGCCTGAGCTGCTCGGGGAGGAAAAGCGGCGTGCCGGACTTTGACACAAACGCGGTAGCACAGGACAGCGTGCGCGTGGGCATGCTCAGGCGAAACATGTGTGGCGTGCACATCAGGGAGCGCGTTGACCCAATGCGAACAACGGGATGGGATGGGAGAGGGGAACGAAGGAGGGACGTCAACCTGAGAAGGCGGGTGATGCGGGACAGAGTCATAACAGTTGTTACTGCCAACAATCGGGTCGGGCGAAAGGGGGGGATAGCAAAGGGGGGGGTTGAGAATCAGCTCACGTAGCTGATTTTCCCGGCGCCTCCCGGCGCCGGAGGCGGCCATGTATCGAGGAATGGGCCCCTCGGTGAGGCCGAAACCAGCTGCATGCAGCGAATTTCGTAACCCCCTTTCCCAATCCCCCCCTTTCGCCCGACCCGAGCGTCCGCCCGCCCGCGATCGCTTTGATGCGTGCCCAGATCTAGGCGGGCTGTGAGGCGAGCAGCGCCTGCTGAGACTCCGGCCACGAGCGCTGCAGCTCCGCAGGTCGCGGGGCCGGTGCCTCCCACTGGCCGCCTGCCACGCCGGCGCCGAGGAGGAGGAGGAGGAGGAGGAGGAGGAGGAGGAGGAGGAGGAGGAGGAGGAGGAGGAGGAGGAGGAGGAGGAGGAGGAGGAGGAGGAGGAGGAGGAGGAGGAGGAGGAGGAGGAGGATGGGGAGGGCATGGAGTCGGGGCAGGCCGAGGCGACCGACGAAGACCCGCCTGGGGGACGGGCTCGATGGACTCCTTGCCCGCAGGAGAGCTGGCCGCTTTGAGACAAAGGTGGTCGGCTTCCGCATCTCAGCCACGCGCAGAGGGGGGGGGGAGGGAGGGGATGGCTTCTTAGAAGCACCCCTGCTTCTCAGAAGGCGCGGGCCTTCTCTCTAGACGTAAGGTCGGCGCCTTCTAAGAAGCAGCTTCCTTCCAAGAAGCCCTCCCCCTCCCCCCACCCCCCCTGCCTGCGCGTGGCTGATTATCCCTGCACTGGGGCTCCAACCCGCGGAGCGCATTCACACTTCGCGAACCAGCCGGCCGCGAGCAGGCGACGACGCACGCGACAGCCTGAACCACGGCACACTTCCTGCAACGTCGGCCCACCTTTGCACTCCTCCTCTTGGCGCCCCCATCCGCGCTCACGCCCACTAGGCCCCTCCAGGAGCGGCTCTTCATCCCGAATCGTTTTCTGACAGTCCCGGGCCCGTGGGTGGGGGGGGCTGGGGAAGCCAGCAAAAGTTTGAAGACTCTCATGGAGGAGGAGGAGGAGGAGGAGGAGGAGGAGGAGGAGGAGGAGGAGGAGGAGGAGGGAGGAGGAGGAGGAGGAGGAGGGAGGAGGAGGAGGGAGGAGAGCAGGAGGAGGAGGAGGAGGAGGAGGAGGAGGAGGAGGAGGAGGAGGAGGAAAGAGAGGGGAGAGGAACGAGGATCCGTTCCCCTCGGGACCCGATGCCCCCTATGGCGAGTCCTGGCTCCCCACGGTGGTCATCTTCGGCTCCACGTACATGCCCGGCAGGACGCCCGGAAGGCCGCACGCCTCCCCGGTGGCCCACCACCACCACCGCCCCGTCTCGGTGCCTCCTCGGCCTCGTCCTCGAGTTCCGTTTCCTTCCTCCTCCTCCTCCTCCTGCTGCTGCTCCTCCTCCTCCTCCTTCCTCCTCCTTCCTCCTCCTTCCTCCTCCTTCCTCCTCCTTCCGTCTTCCTGCTCTTCCTCCTCCTTCCTTTTCCTTCCTCCTCCTCCTGCTGCTCCTGCTCTTCCTGCTCGTCTTTGTCATCCTTCTGCTCCAGCTCTTTCGACGTCGAGCGGACTCGTCAGGACTGTAGCGTCTGTGAGCAAAACAGATGGCCGACTCAGGCTCAGTGCACGACAAATTTGGCATGGCGTGCGAAGCGGTGCAAAAGAAAGGCGGCAAATATATGCAAAACAAGTGTCGTGAGGGTACAGAATATGCACTCGCCACGCAGTGCGTGAGGAGAGGACAGTCGACGCTAGAAATCGAAGATCGATTTATACCGTAACGTGTAGGGTGGCACCGAACAGGAGGGATCGACATACGCATGCAAGATACCGCGCTTAGTGGTGCTGATCTGCATGTTCAGCGTCGGCTCCAATAGGTCCATGCCGCAAGGAGATGCTAGGCAGCTGTAGGCATGAAACTTTAGGTCGGGTTAGGTACACCCCCAGTCGGTCAAGGAATGCGGTGGGACTGAAGTGGTGTACTGCATGGTGCAGGTGAAAAATAAGAGCATGCGACGGACGGTCCCCAAAAGGCCCAAAAGAGGCGACAAGAGGCTCCGGACCGGACCCCACGAGGCTCAAAGAGGCCACGCACGAATGGGCAAACGCCTGCGATGGCACAACATGGGCCAGCTGAATGGGCGAAGCGATGAAATAAGAGCATGCGACGGACACTTCTGCAATGGGAGCGGCGGAATACAACTTGTGAGGCGACTGATTGTGACGTGGGGGGGAGGGGGAGGAGGAGGAGGAGGGGGAGGAGGGGAGGGAGGGGAGGAGGAGGAGGAGGAGGAGGAGGAGGAGGGGAGGAGGGGGAGGAGGAGGAGGAGGAGGAGGAGGAGGAGGAGGAGGAGGAGGAGGAATACAAATTGTGAGGATTGAGGCAAGCATTCGGCGGCCCACATCAGGGCGGGCGCCCTCCGCCGAAGGCCAAGCCGGCCATGGACGTAAGCAGCGCTCCCCTTCCCCACATTTGGTATCTCCCAATCCCCTCCACCCGAACCTCCAGTCATACTTCTGCTGGACAGCCTGGGCTCTTAAGGGGCTGGCACATGCAGAATGGCTGGCCTATGCTGTCGATACCTGCTAGTGCTCTGCTCCTCATCCTTCTCCTCCTCATCCTGTTCCTCCGGCTTCGCGTCGTCCTCCCATCCGGCAGCTGCTGCTTCCTCCTCCTCCTCCTCCTCCTCCTCCTCCTCCTGGTGCCGCTGCTGGTGATGGCGGTGGCGCTGCTGCTGCCGATGCCGCTGCCACGTTTTCTCCTGCTCATGCTTCTGTCAGTCCAGTGATGATCCTGCTGCTGGTCCTCCACATGCCCTCTTTCCCTAATGTTTCTTGTCATCCCTCCCTCTCTCCCCCTTCCCTCCTTCCCTTCCTGCGTCCTCCTGGTCTAAGCGAACCTCCTCCTCCCCCTCCTCCTCCCCCCCCCCCCCTCCCCCTCCTCCTCCTCCTCCTCCTCCTCCTCCTCCTCCTCCTCCTCTTCCTCTCCTCCTCCTCCTCCTCTCCTCATCATCATCATCACCGTCACCATCACCATCACCATCATCATCATCATCATCATCATCATCATCATCATCATCATCATCATCATCATCATCATCATCAGCATCATCATCGTCATCATCATCACCATCACCAGCATCAGCATCATCATCATCAGCATCAGCATCATCATCATCATCCTAATCATCCTAATCATCATCATCATCATCATCATCAGCATCATCATCATCATCAGCATCATCGTCACCATCATTATCATCAACATCATCGTCAGCATCATCACCATCATCATCACCATCATAGACATTATCATCATCATCAGCAGCATCATCATCATAATCAGCTTCGTCATTATCATCATCGTCAGCATCATCATCATCGCCAGCATCATCATCACCAGCATGATGATGATGATGATCATGATCATGATCATCATCATCAACATCATCACCATCATCATCACCAGCATCACCATCATCATCATCAGCATCATCATCACGAGCACCACCACCACCATCATCATCATCAGCATCATCATCATCATCAGCATCATCATCAGCATTATCATCATCATCCCCATCCCCATCCCCATCCCCATCCTCTTCCTCCTCCTCTTCTCCTCCTCCTCCTCCTCCTCATCGTTCTCCTCCTCCTCCGCCTCCTCCTCCTCCTGCCCCCATTCCCTTTCATCCCCCCGCCCCGCCCCTCGCATCAGCCCCATCCTCATCGCCCACCTGGTCCCCGTCCTCGTCATCATTCCCCATGCTTTTCGTCAACAGTATCACCTTCACCTCCTGGCATTATCTCGTCCCCCTGACGGGATGGCTTGCGTTTTGCCCGCCCCACCCTCGAAACGTATCAAGCACGGCGACGGAGATGCCAAGCGGCGCGGCGATTTGGAAACCGCTCAGCCGGCCAGCTTCGCGGCTATGGCGGCGCGCTCGCGAGGCCGATGCGCATCCTCCTCCTCCTCTACCTCCTCCTCCTCCTCCTCCTCCTCCTCCTCCTCCTCCCCCTCCTCCTCCTCCTCCTCCTCCTCATCCGTAGCCATTTTGGCTCAAGATGCCAGGTTCCCTTGGGGCCAAAACGGATACCGCTAGTCCGCGGCTAGACTTCGAGTTGCTTCGCCTTTACTGCAGGAGTTGGGCACCTGCAAGAGTCTCATGGCATATGAGTCCGCGCCGTGGCACATCGTGCGCCGCAAAAAGATCAAGGCCCCGCTTGCCACAGCGGGATGGAAGTGCACGAGTTGTGGATGCGGCCACAATGAGCAGAACTGGCAGTGGTGCAAGCACTGCCATGCCGAGCGACCTTCAGGCCCAGAACGCTCATCGACCACCTCCGCATCTGGCTGGAGCTGGCCGTCGTGGCGTTCCTCCTGGACCGAGGACAAGAAATCGACTCCACCTACACGTCCTTTGCCTGTGGGTGCTCTACCAGGTCCTGGGCAGCCTGCCGTCTCCATCGTCAATGCCAGCCTCGCCAGCTTGGACAGCTCTGAGCTCACAGCGTTGCTTGCCATTGCGGAGAAAACGGGAGACACCAACATGATCAACAGAGTTCGTGCCCGTCAGGCAGCGCTGGCGGCTGCCGCTGCACCTCATCCTGAGGAGGCCCTGGAGCAGCAGCTTGCACGCTCCAGGGGCGAGCAGGACCGCCTCTTGCGCAAGCTGGACAAGGAGCTCAATAAGTACGACAAGTGGCAACGGCAAATGGATGAGCAAGAGGAAAACATCGCCACCCTGCGAGAGGAGCTCAACGCAAAGGACGCGCAGCATCGCGTCCCGGCGGCGAGATTGGCTGACCGCTCCAAGCAAGCTGAGTCTCCACCGTCGACGGCGGGTATTCCCACGGTGCGACTGGAGGACCTTGCTGCGGGCAAGACCGACGCGCTGCAGTTCGATCTTGGCATGCTGGACCAGCTTCCCGAGGGCGTGGACTACACGGCCGAGGAGCGAGAGGAGGTCCAGACCAGGGCCAGGGAACTTCAGCAGAGGCGGAGACGGCTCGACAGCTATTCGCAGGAGCCATCGCAGACGTCCAGAGGGCGATTGAGGCACACGAATCCCAAAAGATCAGACTGGCTCAGACAAAGCGGCGTGTGGACGACGCTCCTGAAGGTGGCCCAGCTGCGGCAGCAGGCGGCGACAGCGTTGCCCCATCCGCGGCATCGGCGGCCAGTTCGGGATCTTCACCAGCGGAGCCAGGCCCTCCTCCCGAACAGCAGCAGCAGTTCCAGCAAGTACGTGAACGTCTCCAGGCCTTTACCAAAGGCCAGGGCAAGAGTGCTGCGTCGGGGGGGGGGCGACAACAAGAAGCCCTCAGATTTTGAATAGCGGGCCTGACATCTCAGTCCATTCATATTACGACTCTTCCACTTGCATTGGTTTCGATTTCTATGCGAGTGTACAAAAAGGCAAGGAGGCCCCATACCCTCGGCCTGCGATGGAGCAGAGCCGCCAGGTGATCCACACTGGCGAGGGGAGGGGCTCAACTCCAGAGACCTCTTCGGAGGCCCCGCGCCCTCAGCCCAGGGCGCTCACCTGCGGCGGCCAGTATACCACTGGTGAGGGGAGGGGCAGCGCTCCGATGTCAATGACCAGGGCGAGTGCTCCATACCCTCGGCTCGAACGACTCACGAGCCGCCAGAATTCACCAACTGGCGAGGGGAAGGGGCTCAGACTCGCCAGCAGAGGCCCCGCGCCCTACCCCGGCAGCGCCTGCTCAGGGAGACCAGCTGACTGCTGGAGAGGGGAGGGGCGAGACGCAGGTCTCTCACCCTACGGCCTATGCGACTCTGACGACCTCTGACGTGCTCACTGGAAGGCGGACTCCTGAGAACGCTGAGCAGGGCTCAGCGGGAGGAGACATGCCGCCGTTGGTAGGCCAGCAGAGCCCAGAGAGAGAGGAGTCGGCACGGGAACGACGTCATCAATTTCGCGATTCAATCATGGCATGGATGGCCCTGACTTGGATCCCGTCGAACAGTTGACAGATGAGTGGACAGAGCCTGTCGATAGATCTCCAATGGCTGGGGAATGTGAAGGATCCACAGCGCAGGAGGCACCAGTAGCTCGAAGTCAGGATGCGTGGGGGTCTGCCGTCCCGCAGTCAGGCGCCGGCGCAGAGTCAGGGCAGCTTCGTGCGGCTCAGGGACTAGCCAGCGGTCGGCTCCCTGGGTGCTCTGGTGATGCATGTGACCTGGCTGCTAATCAGGCGGTACCGTCGACCACGTGTGCTGGACAAGGTGCCTCCGCAGTGTCTCAGGCTCAACACCAGCCATCAGACTTACATGCCACATTCTTGTTTGCCAACATCACGGAGTGGGGGCCACAAGCGCACCAGTTTGTTCGGCGCCATGCAGAGGCTTACCCAGCGATGAGGTTCGTGGAGACGCACCAGTCGGCAGCTACGAAGGCTCATTGGACACGCGAGCTCAAGAAGGACGGGTTTCATGTTTCGATCAAGGAGGGATTCCCGTCAGGACGATCTGAGCAAGGTAATTCTGGAGGTGAATGGCTGCCTGCACGGGCTCATTCAGCCACAACTCCGTTCGACAGACACAGATCCCAGGCTGTCAAGGAGGGCTCAATCATTGGACAGCCGTTTCATCCCATGCGGTCGTGGGTGGCAGGCTTAGCGCATGGAGGTTGTCTTGGGAAGGTGTTTCTGCATCCAGTGCTGGGAGCCGCTCGCCGCCGAGCCCCGCAGGCCTCACTTTGGACATTTGTTGACGACGCAGTGGCCAGGTCAGAAGGAACGCGAACCAAGATCATCGAGGAGATGACAGAGATCGCGGACTCGTTCGGGCACTCTGAAAGAGAAACGCTCGGTAGTATCGGACAAAACAGTGATCATTGCTTCCGACTCTAAGCTTTGC